GTTGGGGTTTAGGGTTTTAGGGTTTAGGGTTTTAGGGTTTAGGGCTGTTAGGGGTTTAGGGCTTAGCGGGTTTAGGGTTTAGGGTTTTAGGGTTTAGGGCTGTTAGGGTTTAGGGTTTAGGGCTTAGCGGGTTTAGGGCTGTAGGGTCTAGGGAATAGTGTACCCCTGGCAGAGTAGTTTCAGAGTCCCTCGTTGGTGTTCAGGGTTCCGTTTTCGCGGTTTTAGATTTTACAGTTTAGTAAGAGTTTGTACATGCTCCAAGTTGCAGAGATCTATTCTTGATGCATACTGAAAACTTCTGAAGTCGCAGCCTCATCCAGCCGTCCTGCGGCTAAATAAAGACAAAACACTGTCGCAGGACTTAAATCCCGGACCCCAGATGCCGAAGTGAGTCCCCCTGCCGAAAACGCGATTCCATACGCAAAGAAAGACAATGGAAAAGTAATGTAGGGGCCTTAATATTTAGAATAGGGTTTTGGGCTCCTTTATTGTATAAGTATAGCAAGGAACCCAAAAGGAATAATAAGCAATTTAGGCCCGGTAAATTACACTGTGGCGAGGCAGGTGGCACTCATGTTGACAAGCTACTTCAACTTCACTTCTGCCGCCCCAAAACCCTAAATCCTAAACCCCAAATCCCAAAACCCGGTTTAGGGTTTAGGGTTTAGGGTTTAGGGTTTAGGGCCCTAAACCCCTAAAACCCTGAACCCGTCACCCACACGAAACCCTAAGGCTTAGCTTTCAAAGTTTTCAACCCCTTGTTATACAACGGGGCTCGGGTTGGGGTTTGGGGGGTTAGAGTTTCCGGAGCTTTAAGGGTTAAGGGTTTCGGGTTAAGGGTTTGTAGGGTTTGTAAAGTTTGTAAAGTTTGGGCTCCGGGCCTAGATGGTAAGACCGAAATCCCTTTCCAACGGCCCGGTCGGTGGTGCCCGTCCCGCGTTCTTCGCGGCGAGAGCTGCTCGTAACTGGGCTCCAAGGTGTGGAGAAGGGCAGGGCTTGCAACGTGATCCTGAACCTTACACCCTAAACCCCGCAAACCCCGTAAACCCCTAAACCCAAACCACTAAACCCCTAAACACCTAATCCCCATAAACCCAACCTAGACCCCTAAAGCCCCAAAGCCCTAAACCCCTAAACCATAAACCCCTAAACCGTAAACCCTAAACCACTAAACCCCTAAACCCTAAACCCTAAACCCGTTCAAGGTGTAGCCTGGCCTTATAAGGCTGTAGGATTTGAAGCGTGCAGCGGGATTCACTGTAACCACTGTTACTGTAAGTATGAAGCAGCATGCCACCGTTGTGTTACTTGCCCATGCTCCTATCTACCCCCTAAAGCCTAAACCTCAAGCCCTAAACTCTAAACTTCAAGCCCCACGCCCTAAGCCCTAAACCCTAAGGTGCTCCTACTGGTAGGGTTTAGGGTCTATGCTTTGACCCTCTTAAGCAGAAGGGCATCCTGTATCCTACGATCCCATACAAAGAGGACTAAGAAACTAAACCAAAAATTCTGAGGATACTACTTGGGGGGAGCTAGTCGGGCAACTGGGAGATGTGGAATCCCCACCGCCAGTCCTAAAGCACGAGCGGAAGTTAGTCTTGGGGCTGTTGTACCCTTAACCCTAAACCCCTCGACCCCTAATCCCTTAAACCCTAAACCATAAGCCCCTAAACCCCTAAACCCCAAACCCCTACACCCCTAAACCCCAAACCCCTACACCTCTAAACCCTAAACCCTATTTCAGGGTATGGTGTTTAGGGTGTAGGCCTGATCGGCCCGTGGGTTCTTGGGCTTTTAAAACGGAGGGTTCAGTCATTAGGGTTTCGGGCTCATGCTTGAAAGGTTCGGGCTTGGAGGGCTTGGGATTCCGGGTTTTAGGGTTTAGGGATTAGGGTTTAGGGCCTATCAGGGTTTCAGGGTTTAGGGTGTAGGGATCAGGGTTTAGGGTTTAGGGCTTACGGTTTGGGGTTTAGGCTTGAGGGGCCTTGCTTACCCCGACTCTCCCAAATTGCATGGTTGAGACCGGCCACCACGTCAATCGACTTCTTTGGCGTCAAGAGTGTTTCCATGGACTCCTCAAGGCAGAGGCAGGAAGACAAATATGATGCCTTAGGAGTTAGAATCGGGTTGAATATCAGCTTAGGGACTATAAGGGGGTGCGATTGCTGACTATTCCGAGCCCCCAGAATTACAGATCCAGCACGAGAAACGGATGGAGGCTCTCTGCCGCCTCCTCACCGGAAGACTCTACAAGACCCTCCTTTCATCCGGAAAGCCCAGCACTCTGCTGCCTAAACTCTTAAACCGTTTACAAACCCTCAACATCAATCTGAACCCCGCAACCCGATTTTGTGTAAACCCCGGTAAACCCTACACTGCACCCCGAGTCAAACCCCCGAAAAACCGCATGCTGAAGCTCTCAAGTACAAAACCGCACCAGGCCCGAAAGAGTGAACCAAACCCTGAATCCTAGGGTTTAGGGTGAAGGGTTTAGGAGCCCAAACCCCCGAAATCCTGTGCAGCCTTAATCCTGATTCTTAAGACCCCAATGAAAGCGCGAAAACCCTCCAAACAGAATTGATGACAGCCTTACAGGGACACTACATCTTCAGCCCCAAGCCTACACCCGTCTTGCTCTTGACGGCATACGACCCCTAAGGCCCTAATCCACCGATTGATTTTAGGGATGTTGGGTTTAGGGTTTAGGGTTTAGGGGTTTTAGGGCGCTGTGGGCCAGGGATTGTGGCTGAGGGTTTAGCGTTGAGGAGGGTTTAGGGTGTAAGCGCCAGTCGAAACGCCTCTACAGCTCTACGGGACCCTAAACCCTAAAAACCCTAACGGGACCCGCCTTGAGAGCCTGTTTCACCGTCGATGCCATTGAAGTGAATCTGCCAGTGGTCTTACCGACAAGGCTTCTTCGCACCTCGTCTTTGCTTTGGCTTCGTTGCTGGTGTTTGTTGTTATTGGGTTTAGGCTGTGGGGGAGGGGGTCAGGCTACAGATTAGGACATTAGGATACAGGGCTTTGGGTTTAGGACCTGAAAGACTGGGATTTAATGTAGAGGCGTTTGTAATTAGAATAGGGGTTTTGGGGTATAGCATGCTATAGTTATAATAAGGAACCCCCAACAACAGCATAGGTACGCATTACGACGCCTATACTAAATTTTGGAGTCTGGGGGCTTCTCGGGTTTAGGGTTTAGGGTTTAGGGTTTAGGGTTTAGGGTTTCGGGTTTAGGGTTCGGACGCCTATGGGCCGCACTTCTTGACATGGCTTTGGGTATAGCTGCTTTGGAGCGCTTCGGCTCGGCGTTCCCCCCCCCCCCCTCCCCAACACATGGAAAACCTGCTGTTTGTTGAAAAACCTAAACGCTTCTCAGATACAGTTCTAGAACAAGGTTTAGGACTTGACTTCGAGCTTCGAGCTTACGGAAGTCACATGATTGATTAAAGTTCCGGAACAGATTTAGGCGGCTGGCCGGCATTGGGTGGCTGGAAATGGGCGTTCTGCCATGTGGCCCACCCGACCTCCTACGAAAGGAAGCTGAAGGACCTTCGTCATCTCGCCATCACTGCTTCCGGTACACTCGGGCTTCTTAGGGTTTGGTGTCCGTTGCTTGGTATAGGGAACCTGGATATGGGTAGTTCTCTAAATTAGGGTCCAGCACCCTTATAAAACGGACCCCAAAAGGGACCCTATTTTAGAAAACTACCCACATCTATAGGAAGTCAGGTTAAGGTCGGCTGCAGGGCTCTCCCGCCACAAAAAAAACGAAGCCCGTTTACCATGGCCTGTGCCGTCGCTGTGCCCTTGCCTTGATCTCTAAACCCGCACTAAACCTAATATTTCCCTAAACCCTAAACCCTAAACCCTAAACCCCAAACCCAAACCCAAACCCTAAACCCAAAGCCCTCAACCCGAAAACACCGAAGAAGGAAGCTCCTATCCCACGACCATGAAGCGTAAGCTTTCCAAGCTGTGAAGTTACCAAAAACTACCAAAACCTACTTTTTTGGAGGGTCCCTATAAATTCCATAATAAGGACCCACAAAAAAGTAGGTTATGGTAGTTCAGGGTAAGGCTTATAGGGATTTTTACTTCAGGCTTCGGGTTTGTCACTAAAGGTGTACCTTCAGAACCCAAAACCCACTGCTTTTGTAGGTTCTTATCATAAACCCTAATATGGGATTTATACCCCAAAACCCACTTTTTTGT